TTACTGCTCTGTTTGAAGCTTTGGGTAATTAATTAAACAAGAGAAGGCCCGGTTCATGATTTGACTGGAGTTATTACTGCAGCAGACGCTTACACTGCATTGTGCCTTGCCCTCTTGGGCACTGGAAGTACTCCTGGTTTCTTATGGTGGCTGGTGGTTTGTGTGACTGTGCCTTCAGACTGGATTTCTGCTCCTTACAAGTTCAGCACCTCAGTATGCAGCTGACTCAAAGGCAAAAAAGGAAAAGGCTATTTTTTCTTCTGACTATGTCCTCATTTTGGAGATAGAAGAGTTATAAATAGAACTTGTCTAATAGTTGAGTTTTCTGAGGGCAAATGGGAAAAGTGTATCTTTGGTTGGCTCAAAACTTGTTTATTTAACAAATTCTAATAAAATGATTGGGTCAAATGGAATGAAATGTTTACTTTTGTAAAAGTTCCTTACCATCTTTGTTAATGAAAATCCAGGAAATATGGGATTCTAGTCTCAAGCAGCCTGGGAAACCTCATTTATATAGCCTCACTAATGAAGTAAAAGCCCAAGGTCCCATTGAACTCCTCTGGGGAGCTAAGTGACCAAGCGATAAATCCCTGGAGCAGGGAAAGCAACACCAGCTGGTGGGTGTTGAGCAGGCCCCTAAACTGATCATTAACTTGAGGTGGTGTCCCTGGGGAGAGGCTGCCAGGGACAGCTACCCTCCAACACGAAGGGGTCAAACCTTATTCATTTCTGCTTGAGCAAGAACTCTGCATTTTTTTACCTTTCTTATTCCATATAATTTGTTTCGGCTGCCTGAGATGTGAGGGTTTTTGTTTTGTCTTGTGGATTATCATTTTCATTTAGCTCCTGCTCTAACCCAAATAAACCTGGTATCCCGTTTCAAGAACAAGTGCATTCCAGGAACGATGGCTTCAGCCATGCAAAGAACATAATTGGCCTTTCCTACTGTGAAACTCATCATTTTTTGTTTGACTTTATTTCCACAGTCCATCCAACTTCTTCATCTGGTTGTGGATCAGCTACTGACTGTTTGCAAGGGCTTTGGTATAATCATTTCATATTTGGATGGCTGTCTCCTCTCTGCAGAGCTGCCGTTAAAGTCACAGAAGCCAAGGGAAAGTTAAAAAGTCAGTGGCATTGCAGATTTCAACTGGCATTTTCAAATTTGCTCTGAGATCTGGTGCACATTGCCAGGTGTGGGTGGAAGGTTCATACATTATTACTAGTTGTGAATTCGGAAAGCAGAGGGTATGCTTAATTTTATGTCTGTGAACACTCACTTGGTGGGTGAACAGGAAAAATGCTGAGGGATCATTGAACCAAATAAAACAAAAACAGAATTAACATTTAAAATATTTTACACAAATCCCCGGGGCCTTGCCCCCCGGTGTATCAGCTGATAAGCTTGAATAACAGAATCATGTAAGGAGCCATCAGTCAGCTCTCAGCTCGGTTACAAACTATAAAACATACAAACTTGCTGAAAATACTGTTCACAGCCAATTATTCATTCTTTTCTTGTTTGGTACCCAGAGGACTTCTATTTACTGAATTTAAATAGTGCTATATCTCTAACACATAGTTGTTCTCATGGAGGACACAGGCAAAATTAACTTTCCATCTACCCAAGCTAAAGATTAAGCAAAATCAGAGGACAATATTTAACAACATATTTTGTTCATTTTTTGTTTTATTTTTCATATGTCAGGCACAGAGACACTTTTGATCACTTTCCTGAATATTTTAATTTTTCACATTTGTTCTAGTTCTCATAGACCAACATTCCACCATTTTCCCTCTGGGAAAATCAGGAAGAAATAGTACTGGAAGTGACCCTGAGAAGTAGTATAGTCTAACTTTTGGTCCCAAAACAAGATCAGCTATACCTGTCTTAATTCCTTCTGATCAATCATGGTTGTTGAAATGAAATTTCAGTAGCTCTCAATGTGTTGTTCCTGTGGATTCTATAGGGATTCTATAGGTACTTAGTGAATAAAAGACAGACTAGGGAAAACGTAGGCCCCCTCCAGAAGCTATCAGGTGAACTGGCTACCCTGGATTTGGAGAAGGATGAGGTTCTCAATGACTTCTTTGCCTCAGTCTTCACTGGCAAAGGCTCTGACCACACCACCCAAGTCTTGGAAGGCAGATGCAGGGACTGTGAGAATGAAAACCCTATGCCCACCATAGAAGAGGATCTGGTTCAAGATCATCTTAAGAACCTGAATGTGCACAAGTCCATGGGACCTGATGAAATCCATCCACGGGTCCTGAAGGAGCTGGTGAATGAAGTTGCTAAGCCACTGTCCATCATATTTGAAAAATCATGGCAGTCAGGTGAAGTTCCCGATGACTGGAAAAAGGGAAATATAACCCCCATTGTCAAGAAGGGGAAAATGGATGACCTGGGGAATTACAGACCAGTCAGTGTCACCTCTGTGCCTGGCAAAATCTTGGAGCAGATTCTCCTGGAAGTCATGCTAAGGCACATGAAAATCAACAAGGTGCTTGGTGACAGCCAGCATGGCTTCACTAAGGGGAAATCCTGCCTGACCAATTTGGTGGCCTTCTGTGATTGGCCTACAGAACCGATGGACAGGGGTAGAGCAGTTGATGTCATCTACCTGGAGTTGTGTAAAGCGCTCGACACTGTCCCACATGACATCCTTGTCTCTAAATTGGAGAAACATCAATTTGATAGGTGGACCACTCAGTGGATAAAGAACTGGCTGAATGGCCGCACACAAAGAGTTGTGGTCAATGGCTCAATGTCTGGCTGGAGACCAGTAATGAGTGGTGTCCCTCAGGGATCAGTGTTGGGACCGGTCTTGTTTAACATCTTTGTTGGTGACATGGACAGTGGGATTGAGTGCACCCTCAGCAAGTTTGCCGATGACACCAAGCTGTGTGGTTCGGTTGATACCCTGGAGGGAAGGAATGCCATCCAGAGGGACCTTGACACACTTGTGAGGTGGGCTGATGCCAACCTCATGAAGTTTAACCATGCCAAGTGCAAGGTCCTACACGTGGGTCGGAGCAATCCCAGGCACAGCTACAGGTTGTGCAGAGAAGAGATTCAGAGCAGCCCTGTGGAGAAGGACTTGGGGGTGTTGGTTGATGAGAAAATGAACATGAGCCGGCTTCAGTGTGCGCTCGCAGTCCAGAAAGACAACTGTATCCTGGGCTGCATCAAAAGGAGCGTGACCAGCAGGTCGAAGGAGGTGATCCTGCCCCTCTACTCTGCTCTTGTGAGACCTCGCCTGGAGTACTGTGTGCAGTTCTGGTGTCCTCAACATACAAAGGACATGGAACTGTTGGAACAAGTCCGGAGAAGGGCCACGAGGATGATCAGGGGACTGGAGCACCTCCTGTATGAAGACAGGCTGAGAAAGTTGGGGCTGTTCAGCCTGGAGAAGAGAAGGCTGCATGGAGACCTCATAGCAGCCTTCCAGTATCTGAAGGGGGCCTATAGGGATGTTGGGGATGGACTCTTCATTAGGGACTGTAGTGACAGGACAAGGGGTAATGGGTTCAAACTTGAACAGGGGAAGTTTAGATCGGATATAAGGAAGAAGTTGTTTACTGTGAGAGTGGTGAGGCACTGGAATAGGTTGCCCAGGGAGGTTGTGAATGCTCCATCCCTGGCAGTGTTCAAGGCCAGGTTGGACAAAGCCTTGGGTGGCATGGTTTAGGGTGAGGTGTCCCTGCCCATGGCAGGGGCATTGGAACTAGATGATCTTAAGGTCCTTTCCAACCCTAATTATTCTATGATTCTATGATTCTATGGATCCCAAGGCAGTGTAGTAAATGTTCACTTAAGTCAATAAAGCCATGGTAGCTCAGACCAGGTAGAGGTCTGGTCCCCAGGGTTTTCAGAAAGGGCTTTCACAAAAAGACATGGGTGACTTGACACACTGCTCTAAAATAGAAATCCATCGGTAACAGGCGCAGTAAGACGAACCTTGTCAACAATGGGATGGGACAAGGCTGGCGGTGTCTGCAGAGCATAGGGCAATGTCTGCATGATAAGGCAGAAGTGGGACCAAAGCTGTAAGGTCTGAGGAGAGGCACTGAGGAGAAGAAACAAATATGGAGCTTTAGGCAGTGCAGGGGTGAGCCCCAAAGAGAAGGGCAGTGCCCCTGGCTTCGCCAGGTATTTTTGCCTATGCTGGTTTATTTTCTTTCGCACCAGTGAGGGTTTTGTAGTCACATGTAACCCAGCACACCAGGGACCTAAGAGATCCTGTGGTTCTGCTGTTTGCTGCTCTGATTCAGCAGCATCCCTTCAAACAGCTCTGTGCAGAAGGGAGAGCTATCTCCCCCTTGCCGTCCTCCCCTCCTTCTTCTGCACACCAGGATACTTTCCAGAGACCCTGCTCAGCAGAGCAGTGAGGTACGTGACTCAAGTCCTGAAAGCACTGACCACTCCAGCCACAGCACCACTGTATATTGATGCAGAGAAACACACAGGATCAAAAAGCTGTTTGTAGATCTAAATGGAAACAAGTTTTTGCTGGAAACTGATACATGTTTGTTAACACTTTTCAAGCTATTGCAATGTCTGTAACAAGCAGCACTGCTACACAGATAAGTTACATGATTGAAGTCTGACTAATGACAACTGCCTGACTGACTTCACTACTTTGGTTAGGCAGACAGAAATATATATATATGCCATACCCCACAGGTACTTGAAAAGGGTTCAATTTAAACCAATTAATAAAATAGCCTGTTTGGACAAAATATAATTGTTCTCCGAGAATACGTGAATTCAACACTGCTAGAAAATCCCTGCCATCTGACGTAGAAGGATTTATAGGTTTAGTGGAAATTGCTTTCCCCACTGTCCAGATTAAATACTGCAGGATGATTTTTTGTATGAGTAAACATCCTTCCAAGAACGATCAGACCGATAATGTCTTAAAAAGAGGAACAGGATCTACATTTTGGTTTTCTTCTTTTTGTATGGACTATTTCTGGATATAGAACCTTCAGGTTACATGTTGACTGTCCATAAAATGCATTTTAGCATCTTCCTCCTGTTGTGGGGATGGGTTTTATCCACTGAATGCAGAGCCCACAGACAAGGAAAGGAAATACATGAGGTATACAAAAAAGGCAGGTAAGTCTCATTTCTTTACATTCAAATAGTTACAGTACGGCCAAATGTAAGATTTCAGGTGAAGATATAATGGCTAAGAGATAATGAAAATTTGCATTTGCAGATTGTACTCTTTCAGTCAAAAATATTTTTTGCTGCTGGTTTTGCCAATGAATGTTTTAAATGCATTTTCTACAGTGAAAATCTACATTGTTCTCCTCCCCCCAGAAAAGGGGTTTTTGATGTATCTGAAAGTTTGAAAGTGTGCAGAAAAAGAAACATTTGCTTGTATTTGTTGTGATTAAAATGTGGTAGAGTATGTGCATGAAAGCGGAGAGGAAATTTAGGTCCATGAGGATTGTTGCATTCACTGAAGATTAGATTGACTGGAGATCTCAAAAGAAAACATTCAGAATTTCTTTTATTATTCCCATACCCTTTGTTTTATAGAGTTCTTGAGAAGAAAAAGTTAAAGCCTCTCTGCAGACTTCAAGGCTATGGTCTGTTATCAGAGGAAACAGAAAGAGCTTTCACTATTGAATGTACACATTAAAAATCATTTAAAACATTGACTATTATCTCTCTTTCATGCAGACTGTGACTTTTTGCTCTTGCTATCTGTAGACAGCCATTTTAGGAGGTTTTGAGTTGAGGAAGGTTTTTTGCTACAACTGATTTCTGATTACTTATATCTAATTTGGGGAATATTTGGAACTCTGCATGAGGATCTTTATACTCAGGCACATAACAAGGGGCATCTAGGGGAAAAAATCCCTTGGATGTTTTTTTGAGAACATAGCTGACACATTAGTTTTCTGTCCAAATGCTGTGTACTTCTGCCTGCGACAGACTAAACCTACATTGTTTCTGCTTTGCTATAGTCACTGTTTCTGTTCTGTAATGACTCTGTATTATCATCAATACTGTAATGTGTATGGGGTTGGAAATGCAGGAATGTCACAGTCTTGAAGAACTCAAACCACTCCTGTTATCCTTCAGGACAAATGACTGAAAGGTGGAAGGGATGGCAAGCACAGCGCCTTTTTGTTTTCTTGTAGCCTCTTGCAGCAAGTCAGGGCTACATTAGAGTGACTCCAGTGTCCCAGTTGGCACTTGGGAGTCCATGAGCCATTTTATACATATGAAATGGTTTTAGCAGTGACACCTGTTTCGTGGAGGTATAACTGACAAGATGAATACAGTGTCTCTGTTCATGATCAGCCCTCAGATCATGCACTATCAGAGACAGTGTGGATGCAAGACAGGCATGAAACCTCTGTTTTCACTGAGCCTCCATGACAGTGGCAGAAGAGGTGATATGCTGACTGTAGAAAAATAAAGGGGTAAGAAGCAAGGTACTGCCATTTGAGCTGAAAAGTGCCCACCAGAGGAATGCACACACACAGCCATGTTCTTGTTTAGCATCTTTAACAGAAACTCCCATTGTACCAAACACTTAACAGTGCCAGTGCAAATAATTCGACAGTATAGCAAATCACAGAGTGTTAAAAATACATGACAACAGAAAATAAATACCTATTCAGTTCATGTAGGAAATGCCCCTTCACCCATGCTTTTTATATACAGTGTAATTGTCCATCAGAAAGCCTCGAGGTGTCGTGGCTCTGAAAAACTGGGTCCACCTCCCTCCCATTGTGCCCACACTGGCCTTGGAGGTAATCTGTGGCCTATTTCTGCCTCAGTAGAGCAGTACAGATGCTGAGGGGGGCTGATGAGGAGAGAGGAGCAAAGCTGTCATGCGGCTGCAGGGCTGTCCATCAGCAGCGTGGTGCTCAGTACAGTGTTTACTTTCCCCTGTGATGGACTAGGCCGTGAGAGACCGATGGTTTTAACAGCTTTATAATTTATAAGGTGAAAAAGGTCACCTGTCTGATTTGGTGCTAAGCACAAGCAACAAAGCCTTCTGCATGAATTGTGCATTGACTCTCTAACTTATGATAATTACCTTCAGTGTCAAGTAAACTCAGAATAGGATCACAGATATTTTTTAACTTCAACCTCCACCCATTTGCTCCTGTTCTATGTCAGCTTGTCTCTTCTTCATCCATGTATTTACAGGTGGATCAACCCCCTTTTTCATCTCTGCTTAGATATATTCAGAAGGCTAAGCTTCTTATATTTGTCAGTGCAGGATTTTTCCCAAGCTTTGAGTCAATCATTTTCTTGTTTTCTTCTCACCCTTCACCCCCCACTAAACCATGCCACCCAAGGCTCTGTCCAACCTGGCCTTGAACACTGCCAGGGATGGAGCATTCACAACCTCCCTGGGCAACCCATTCCAGTGCTTCACCACCCTCACAGTAAAGAACTTCTTCCTTATATCCGATCTAAACTTCCCCTGTTCAAGTCTGAACCCATTACCCCTTGTCCTGTCACTACAGTCCCTAATGAAGAGTCCCTCCCCAGCATCCCTACAGGCCCCCTTCAGATACTGGAAGGCTGCTATGAGGTCTCCATGCAGCCTTCTCTTCTCCAGGCTGAACAGCCCCAACTTTCTCAGCCTGTCTTCATACGGGAGGTGCTCCAGTCCCCTGATCATCCTTGTGGCCCTCCTCTGGACTTGTTCCAACAGTTCCATGTCCTTTGTATGTTGAGGACACCAGAACTGCACACAATACTCCAGGTGAGGTCTCACAAGAGCAGAGTAGAGGGGCAGGATCACCTCCTTCGACCTGCTGGTCATGCTCCTTTTGATGCAGCCCAGGATACGGTTGGCTTTCTGGGCTGTGAGCACACACTACTGGCTCACGTTCAGTTTCTCAACAACCAACATCCCCAGAACAACCCCAAAGCATGGTTGCTTTGCACTTAAGTCAAAGCCAATACCTTTTCCCACCACAGAACTAGATACTGAAAGAAAAACAGGAGCAAGAGGGGATGCTATATAGCATCAAGAAAAGCTTGCAGTGAAGATTGCTCCTGAACATTTTGATATTGACTCTATTTTCCCTCCCTTCAACACTCAGCCCTGAATATCCATTATGCAGGAGAAGAAGTCACAGCAACTGACTTTGTTACTCCTCTCTAAACATCAGTATCTCTTGCTCCACAGGGCTTGGGGTAAGGATCAGGATGGAAAACCATCCCTTCATTGCAGCCTTTACCGTCTGAAGAGAGCCACAGGCCTCAGTGGAGGTTGATGGGGGAAATCTCTTCAAAGTGGAAAAGGCTGTCTCCCCACCACCACACGATGCTCAGGGTGGCTTCATTTGCACACATGGCTTCCCTAGCCTCCAGAAGCTCTATAGGAGCACAAAACCATCCATCCGCTTGCCATACTGCCAGGGCTCAGCGCCAGCCACTGGTGCTGGCAGGCAACACAGGCACCTGCTGTAAAGACCTGCCACCTTGGGTGCGCTGCCAGCTTCCCACTGTCCCTGACAGACGTGGTCAGCTTTGCTCCTGATGTTCATGGTGCAGCTGGCAGAGGAAGTACACAGGCTTTTACCTTGTTTCTTTGGATGGTGTTGTTCTGCAAGTGTTGCTCTCAAATTAAAACTCTGCACTTTCCAGCCCAAAGGCTTGTCCTTTGACCAGCTCAAATCCAGCAGAGCCCACAGCCTTTGCACTCCTGCTGATGTGGTGGATGGGATGAATGGGGGCCTGCAGGATCAGACACCTTCTCTGTCACAATTTTTGGCACTGCAGGTACCCCAAGGCAGCCATTCTAGGGTGTGACAGTGCACACTGAAACCAGCAAAGTAGATAGCTTTATTGCATGGGACTTATTTCAGAGACCTCCAATATTGTAATTCACTGTAAAAATGTCTGTGTGCCAGTCAAAGACTCAGCTACTTATTTTTGCTAATCTCCAGGGCAAATCACCTCAAAGGAATTTCACTTCAAAGAGCAGCAATATAAAAATAAAACCTTCCTCACCTTGCAGACCTGCTCACAGTTTGCAGTTGGCCATGTGCAAATCCTGCAGGGTTTGCAAAGCTTTTTGCTCCTGTTACATCCACAGTGCCAAAACTCCTACAGGAAGCAGCTGAGATCCGGAACACCGGTAAGAGGGCTGTCTGCTGCTTTCCCAACTGCTCGGGCTCATGGAAAGCCACCAGGCTGCACAGGGGTCACTAGAAGGATACAAAGGGTCACTAAAGGTTACAACATTGTTATGCCAAAAGCTGTGTTACTAATTAGACTTGCAGAATCTTCTAGAGAGGATGAGCAATAGCGAAAGAACTGGCCTGGAGCTGAGCCCAGGTTGCTCTGCCAAAGCTAACTGCTGTGAAAAAAATCTCTTTTAACACTAAAATCTCCCTGGACAGCATTATAGCCACGTTTCAGACAAACAGCTCTCAGCAGAAGAGATTTCACTGTACAAGATCTACAGATCATGTTTGTTTAATCTTAGCTGAGGGACTCGCTTTATGTTTTCAGTCATGTCCTTGCCATTCCCTGAACATCTTATAATCATTTTGCTTCACTCTGGTCTCCAAATAGTAACTAATTTTCTGCTCTGTTAGAACTCCCTGTCCATGTTTGTATCAATAAGAGCTATCTTTTACAGCAGCTGAATGACACCTTCTACAATAAGCCATGGGCTTGTTATCACAGCGTTTCTCTCATGGCCAAAGATCTTTATGGCATGTTCAGATGTGATTATAATTAGCGATGCACTTCATAAGTGATGGGAACCACCCTGCATCATTATGGCCATAGTTCCTTCCCAGTCCTTTCTCAAAGGCTTAGGATCATACTGAACATTCACAATATTAGTTACCTTCCCTTGTTTTTGTTGAATTTGGATAGCAGTTCTGTGTTGTCAGCTCCTCCATACGCTGGCCACATTGCGTGCGAGATATCTGGCTCTGTAAATCACGTGCAGCTATGCTGGTACCCTCACTGCGGCTGCCTCTTACAAGTAGGGCAGCTCCTATCTTCTTGCCCTCTTAATGCTTCCTCTGGCTTTATAAATTCATCTCTATCAGGATTTCTTCCTTTGCCTCCCAGCAACCCTTAAGCCATTCTCTTGTCCTAGAGTTTTGGTGCCATAT